AAATTAATATCAATTTTTTCATGTGATTGAAACTTTTAATCTAACTGTATAAGGTACACCCATTTTTATACCTTTTAATAATATTTTGTTGAAAACTTTAATCTTAAAATCAACGGTTAGATTAAAGTTCCAATGATATAGATTTCAAAATTGTTTGATATTTTATTCATATAAATAAAATTAATTTAATATATACTTTTAAAATATTTAAAAATAAATACCGTTTCATTATATTGTTATAATTGTTTATATATTTACAAAATTTGGCACAAATAATAAGTTAATAAATAGTTATAATTCATCATTTGAAATGACAAAATTTATATTTTATATAAAATTATTAATAGTGTTTGGGATAAAGAAAATTTTTCAAGTTAAAGATCATTTTGTAGGAAATTTCATTTTCGAAAAAATTTTGAGGGTCAAAAAGGAGCCAAAAAGAAGCCTGGAAGATTATCTAGGACTTAGTTTTAAGGGACACATTTCAAGCTATTTTTAGCGACTTTTGTAACATTTTTCAAATCACTGACACTCAAAACTACTCGAAAAATAGAACTGGCAAGAAAAATACTCCACAAAACTGATGGCTTTTCGAGAAGTTTTGAAGAGTTTTCAAGTCCCTAACACTCAAAACTACTCGAAAAACAGAACTAATAGAAAAATATTCTAAGTCCACAAAAAACTGATGGCTTTTCGAGGAGTTTTAAGGAGTTTTCAAGTTCCTGACACCCAAAAATGCTCGAAGAAAAACAGGAAGTGATCAGAAAATATTCTAAGTTTACAAACCTGACTAAGCGCCAGATTTCCTCCAGAATTGCTCGAAAAATAGAAATGGACAAAGAAAAGATTCTAAGTCCACAAGACCAAGACAAAGTTCTCAAAACTCCAGAATGACTCGAAAAGAGAAGTCAAGAAGAAATTATGCCAAGGCCGTAACATTAAAGGAGTCTCTCAAGTTTCTCCCAGAAATACTCGAAAGATAGAAAAACAAGAGTCTTGATAGGTTAAGTCATTGAAAAATTCAGAAGCGGTTACCAGCAGTTATCAACATTCACCACTACACAAAGGAGATCATGGGCGATAGCGGTTACGAAAGAAACCTCAACCAACAACACGATCACAAGCAATCGTGGATAGTGGGCATCAACAGTTGAAGGCAGTTACTAAGAAGTGCCCGCAAAAGGAGGAGAACGATGGTAGTCTTCATGTCTATAAATACTCCAAAGCACCATTTTACAAAGGACGACTTTTTGCACCCAGACACCACACCTAAACACTCTGAGACGCTGAAACCCTGCACCGCGCCAGACACCAGCTACAAGGAGACCTACGGTGGCCGCTGTTCGCCGTTGTGAGGAGTCGTACGTTTACATTTCAGCATATTTACATTCCAGCACCTTTATATTCTCGCATTTATCTTTCTGCATTTTAATTTCAATGCTTGTTGCTTGTATCTTTGTACACTGTTAGCTTCTTGTTTGTTACATTTTTGTAAAAGCATCTATGTTTGATTCAATTCTGCACATTTATTATCCACTATTCTTGCTTAATACTCTTTTACGTCGTTAATCTGAGCATCACGTTAATAACACACTTAAAAGAACCCAAAGAGGACCTAAATCCAGTCCCCAGACTGATCTTTGAATTATTTGTTTACAACTGTCATTTTTCACCGTAAACAAATAGTATAAAAATAAGTATAACATACATTGATATAATTTTATCTTTCTTTTTGTCCTTATAACATGAAGGGTTATGTTTAATTATATGATATCTTTAATAATTTTTTTAATTACAGATATTTTTTATCAATTTAAAGTTTTTATATATTATGTCAAGTTTATAAAAATTCATGCACTTAAATGATACAATTCCTTACAACTAAATATAGATTGCTTATTGAATATATGCTTCACTATTTTCTCGAAATTAAAGATGACTATTAGTATGCAATATGATTAGTTTATAGCACCCCAACAACTACATAAGTCTCTCCTGCTATCTTGGAGTAGCATTTTTAATGCTTCATGTGCCCTTCAACCTTATTTATGGTAGTAAGAACACCACATTAGGTTCAATAATGGAAAAAATATATATTATTATATTAAAATGTATTTAGCGTAGCTGTTAATACTGTGTTGCATAGATGCATCACTTTATTTGTGCATGCTGAGATGGAAATTTCCTTATAAGGTATCAAACAGGCATTTTACACAATGACATACATTAGGAAAAGCATACTTCAAACTTACTGAATTGCCTCTTCCAATGTGGACTATCACATGCGTCATCACAAATTCTTCTTTTTTTAGCGGCAACTTGTACTTAGCCTTCCACATTTTTAGTAACATAAAAAATGCTCTTCACGCTCCTCTGGTGCGGATGAGTAAATAATACTATCCCAAGCGTCCATCACAATATTTTTTAGTAGCAACTTGTACTTAGCCTTCCATATTTTTATTAATATGAAATTGATATAACAAGTGAGTTGAACAGAGAAAAACATCATGCATTCATGCATTGCATTAATTAAAACAATTTCTTTGTCAATCAAAATGACTTAAAAGTATATCACATCATCTTTTACAATCAACCTTTCAATTTCAAGTAAAGAAAGCTTATATTATTTTTTTGGTTTTATATGTACTGTCAATGACCAATACAATATGGAACCCATTGAAAAAGTTGTATACAATCTAGATGTGCTCGAACTATTTCACTCACAACATCAAAAGCGTTCTTTGCCAATGCATATACTTGTCATGTTCCAATAACTCCGAATGTGCATTGTATACTTTCTTGATAACATTGACATTACCCTTGTTATGATCTTTCAATGTAAATAATATGCTTCTCAACTTCATATTGTAGTCATAGTTGCAGGCAAACACTTATCTTCACCACTTAACCGATGAACATAATCATGGCCGAATGAAGTTTCATCTGATTCATGGTTAGGAAATCCACGTACCTTGCATGTTAACACTTTCCGCTCTCAACCTCACGTTGTTACTGTTTTTCTTCCTAGACCACCCAAGTCCAACCTCATAGTAACAACAATTGTTTACGCTGAATTTGTTTTTTTAGCAAATAAACAAATTTATAAGCAATTTGAGATTGAATTTTAGATTTACTTAATATATTCTTATTAGTGTATTTTTAACAAAATTAATAATATAAACGAATAGCATTCAAATAAAAAATAGAAAAGAAGGAGATGAAGAACAATTGTAATAAATTAACAAAAGCAAAATAAAAAGATTATGAATAATTCCAATGAAAATAATTAAATCAATAGAAATTACAATTTCAATTGAAATAACGTAGTTGTTAATCACTTTTTCTGGAGTTCAGCTTGTGCGCAAAACCTTTGACAATTTTTGAGATAAAAGTGAAGTGTCTAAGAATCGAAGTAATCCTTATCTAAACATCTAAAGACCTATTTATAGAGAAACACTAAAATAATTGCTTAAAACATGTATCTTAACTGTTATTATCTATTTTGACACGATTTTTGTCACATTTATCTTATAACTGCTCCTAACATGTCAAATTCAACCAACACTTAATCTTCAACAAATTTTTCTATTGTCTCTGAAATCCTTCAAAATATCTTGAACCGATCTCTTATCAATGGTAGTAAGGTAGTTTGAAGATACTTCAAATATTTCTTTTCAATGAACTTGATATTTCATTGAATACCTTGCAGTTTTGATCATAATACCTCCTCGATGGATTTTCAGCATTATGGATGAGTTATCCACACCTATACATAATCTTGTTGAAAAGTCACCTTCTTTTAAACTAAAAATTTATGTTTTCTTGGCCATAATTTGTTAACTTATTGAAATGTCATTTCTTTTCGATCAAAAGTCTATATTTCTTTGGCCATAATTTATTTAAAAAACTTGTGAAAATATCACTTTTAATAACAATCTTATCAAGAGCATGTTATGGAAGATTTGGTCGAAACATCTATTTTACTATAAACCAAAGCCACCAAATGCATTGGCTCAGCATAAGATTCTCTGAGAAGAAACAATAAACTTCGACCCTTATAGGTTATCTTTTGACAAAAAATAACCCAAACGAAACTTAACCAAGTAGAAACCCTATTTCAAGCAACTTACGATTTCTTCCCTCTCATCCTTTTTTCGAGCAAAAGTCTTTGTAAGCGGAGGAAATTTTTATTTCTCCCAGACAACAACAAATCCATCCTCTGTACCAGCGGCTGGAGTTCAATTCAATAAATCATCCTAAGTTAAGAAAATCTGCAATTAAAAATATATATATTACTAGTTCATACATTCATACTTAAATGGTAAATAATATTTCAGCCACAAATACATAACTGTAATCCACAATTATATTTGAAGGTGAAACATCCTACCACCCTCCCTTTACAAACTTGATTCTATAAATCATTTAGAAAATAGTTAATTCATATAATAAAATCATAATACTCAAGATCAGTGTAATAGAGTTAGAAATTGTTTTTTACTAGTATGCATGTCAACTTCATCAAATAGATTGGTCATCTAGTTCATGTACTCTTCCATATTAACTTTCAAATTGACTTAAACAAACAACGACAAAATAATCGTAATTATATAAAATTTTAAATTAAATCCAAAAGATCATATAAATAGCTTTCAAAAATTAAATTCCACAATGGTAATATTTACCTTTTGAAAACAAAATTTTGAACGCAACTTATAGTGAATTCTAGAAATAAGTTTTTTGAAATGATATTCTGAAGTTTTAGAAACAAAATGCCGACAAAAATAAATTTTCGGAAGTAACAAGATTCAGCCTTCCTTTTTCTCGTTTAAACTTTGATTTTAGCTTCCTTACACACAAGATGGTGCTGCAAGATTTGACCACTTTTTCCATGAGTAAAAGTGGTTGACAAAAAAAAAAAAAAATAACAAAGGAAATGACAAAAATTACTAGAGAGATGTCCTTATACAAGGAAGCATGCTACAGGAGAGATGTCCTTGTGTAAAGAAGCGTCCTACAGAGTCTGAGCTTTGAAGATAATATAATAAGGATGATAAAAAATAGATTCAATATATCATCTGAAAGCGTTTTATCTTTATATTTCTCAGTTCTATTTGTTAGGATTAAATTAGTTGCTTATATGTTTTTCATAAACTGCGCGAAATCATTCCTCTTATCAGAGTTTTGATTAATTTTGCTTGCATGCTTCGACTTTGATTATTATCTTGACTTGATTAGGAGCAGAACTAGATAATCCTATTGATAAGTTTATAGTATCGATTTGATCAATTTATCTCGGTCACTGCTTCCGTTGGTAATGTATGCTTTCCTGTCTAGAGTTCTTATGCTCAAATGGGATTTAAGATATGATATTGAGACCCAATTCATATGTCTATTCCTGCTAAAGTCTAACATTGGAAGATAATTTCTAAACTAAATCTGTCTTCCACAGAAAATGCCCATGATTAACCAGTGGCATAAAATTTGTGCCTAGTTCAAAATAAAAACCCCTGCATGGTATGAATATTTTTACAGACCAAAATAGTTCCTGTTTTGACGTGAATAATCACGTTAGAAAGCAAACATATTTCCAACTGTGTATGCGAAAAGTTGAAAAAATCTAAATGTCTTCAATACACAAGTCGTGACTAATATCATCATCATTATAATGATGTAAACTTATTAACATTTAGCATGAATCTGAACACGCTGTAAATGAAATTTATTTATCAGTTCAAGATTCAACGAAGAGCATTTTATAAACCTGTTAAGGGCTCTGATACCCAAGGAAGATAATACGGAATATTAAAAAAATTTGCACGCGACCATCTCTTAGGATTTCACTAAGCACAACCCTTCCAAAAGGGTATATCAGCGCATATAGAGCCTTTGAATTACCAAATACCCAATAAATGATAAATGACATGCAAACTATACCCACAAATTATTTTTAAGCGCAAGCACAATAAATGACAAAAGATATAAGGGTTCGCTAACGAACAATTGGGTACTGGCCTCTTCTTTTTTTCTTTTTTCTTTTTTTTTTTACTTCCCCCTTAGATTCCCTCCCCGTACCCCTTCTACACAACACAGACTACCCTTGTCATGAACCCAAATATTGGGAAAAAAAAAAAAAAAACACAAGCTGATCCGGTGAATCGGGACCCTGCTAGTCTATCCTTGCGTAATCTTTTCTTGTCCGAGATGTTGGTGGCATGCTTGCGACAGGAGGATTCATTCTTCGCCCTACAATATATACCACCAGCCAAGTTAGGTTGATATACTTTTCTTTCTTTCTAAACATCATACTAGTCCATTTTGATAAAAGCAGATCAAGTGCCTCGTGTGGGAGTTTCCATGGCACCCAACCTTTTTTATCTTGGATAAGAGTACTGTCACTGATTATTCGTTGTTGGTTCTCACAAAAACCATTTGATGTTTCACCAAGTAAAACTAATAACTAAAAATGTTTGACAATTGGCACAGAAGAAAACTTGGGTATTGCAGTAAATTCACATAACTACACAAGTAAAAAAGAAAAGAATGACAGTAAAATTTGGCAAGTATTATATACCCCATGTCATACTGTTTGTGAATGAGTTGTTCCTGGGAGAACGAGGGCCCACATTGCTGAAACCAGAAGGAGCCTGAATCTTAATTTGATTCCACTCAGCACCCTGGGGTGGTCTACCATGTGTGAATCTTTGAACAGATTGGTGTCCAAAACGGCTTGGAGAATTTTGTAAAATATGAGGCATGAGATGAAAAGGCTTAGACATAGAGTATGCTGCTTGATGATCATGAGCTGGAAGGCTACCCACCTCAACGTTAGAAAATGCTTGACCTGGTCCACTGAGTCTGAAGCACAAGGTACAGACAGTAGAAGGGATATTCAGATTTTAATTGAAAAGGAAATTATAAAGGAAGGGAAATATTCCATGGATTGTTTTCCCATTAACTTCATTTAAAAAAGGTACATAAATTACAATAATATTGGTATTCCCATAATTTTAAAATCATAAGAGTTTAACCACACAACTTTGTGTTTAATAAAGAAAGACATTCAAAAGTTTTGTTATGTCACTTTTCCTAGGTTTAATGAATTTGGTCCCTATACAAAAAAATGTTTGTAAATAAGTCCTTGAACAACAAAATGTTTTCAAAATGATCCATGCTGTTATCTCACATTTTAGACATTTTTTCATTTTGAGCCTTACACATAACACATTCTTATGTTTTGGTCTCTATATAACATTTTTTTCATTGTGATTTCTGTACATAACACATTTTTTATTTTGGTCCCTCTATGGAAAAACTTTTTAATCCTTATAAATACCAAAACACAATATGAAAGCAAGGAAAATGAACAAAGCAATAAAAAAAAACTAAGCAATCATTATACTTGAAAATCTGAGCAAATTTGACCGTAGATTTTGGTCTAAAGAAGATAATTTCATTACTATCTCAAACAATAATAATAAAAATCAATGATTTTGGTGGTTGATGGTTATGATGAATAATGATAGGTTCCAAAGGATAATTTATTAACTTAATTTGAATAAAGTCGGCATTGCTTGAAGTGGCTAGAGAGATTGTCACAAGGTTGTGTTTAAGAGTTAGGTAAAAAGTATTTTGGTTTTACATATAATGGAGGATCAAAAGGAGAGAATGGGAGCTGACTTTCGAGTGCCAAAGCCATTGATTTTCCTTTTTATTGCAGAGAATAATGGAAGGTCCTTCTTTAGTTCTGCTCCTTTATGTACAGAGGGACTAATATAAACAAAATTCATGTAGGGATCAAAATAAAATAAAAAAAGTTACATATAGGAACCACAATAAAAAATTGTCATGTACAACAATCAAAATAAAATTTTAAAAAATTATTATTTTTTATAAAAATATACATAAAAAAAATTGTGTTATATATAAAGTATTTTAAACCTTTTTTAAAAGAATTGTTATAAGGAGGGCAATTCATATGCAAATCTTAACCTGATAGGTAAAATCATCAGCACATTAAATGAGTCAACGCTAGCTGCAGCCAAGGAAAACATAGTATATGGAAACCACAAGAACCAAGGAAAATGAGAAAAGAAAAATTAACAACCAACCCACCTTTGCATGATTATTGGAGTGTTTGAGCTGGAGACATGGTTGAACCTTCCAAATCCAGCCCATGGTTCAGTGGAACCAAGATTCATACTTCTACCAAACTCAGTTGTCAAATTGCTTTCATCTGAACCATCATCTTGTAGTAGTAGTTCATCACTGGAGTGAAATTAAAATCATTGATGAGAAAATTAATATCATCAATTCATCACCATATATAAAGTTTGAAGGCAAAACAATTACTAGGAAGGCACTATTAATATCATCAACTCGAATTATAGTTTCATTCAATTCCGTCTAGGACAACACTGTAGTATCTTCTTACTTTGCTGTATTTCATTTTTGACTCCCTCTTAATCTCGTTTTATATATTCTTTTTTTTTTCCCCCAAGGGATATTTGCTTGATTCAAGCTATCTTAGGGATGTCCTCCTCATTGCTTATTTCAATTAGAAATTAGGGAGCACCAATTCATAATACTAACTAAATAGAAGGTCAATTTATTTGGGTCATGACACATTAATAAATGTTCCTGACATGAATTACATCCTTATTTCTTAATACTGTCAAGCTGAGACCTAATATTCAATTTTTTTTAATATTATAAAATGTCTCCATAGCATTATTAGAGAATTAAGCCATTTGACCTGTGTGATATACTCTCTTCTTTAAGTCTAAAATTATCCTTCTATAACAGAAAGATTATATTAATCATCTAATTGTGCCTATCAGTATGATGTAAGTTACCTTGAGGTGGATTTACATTGGAAAATAATGACGAAGCAAAACAGAAAATTAGCCACATAGGATATTTGACAAACTTTCCCAGATAGTGTAATAGACTTTCCCCTCTTGCACTTATTCCGTCCTTCTCTATCTTCTCCCCTCCTAATATCCATAAAGATTAAACTTTGACTACCACTTCTAATTGCCTAGTTAGCAATCAGTTACATTTACCATTACCTACCTGAGATCATAATTTCCCTTGAATGCCTATCATTCAATCTGTTACATAAACCTTACCCTCCTGATGAGACCTAGATCCTTTGCATTTCTTCCCAATGTATACCTTAGTAATAGGGGGTTTACTAACAATTTTTCCATCAGAACCCTTCATCTTGTCCTCAAGGTGAAATGTAGTAAACCTTTCCTGAAGTAATTTACAAACTTTAGATGATCCTGCCATTTAATTAGAACTACAGTTAGACCCTGTAAAATGATTATAAAAACCTTCCATCTGCAGGATAAACCTCGAGTTCCCATTCTTATTTATGACAATCTTAATTTGTGAGGTTGGTAAGAACCTTGGGAGAACCAAACTTCCACCACGTCTCTCAGCTGCAATTGAGCAGCTCAGATGGTGACGCCAGCATTGTAGTAGTTGCATGGGCTAGTGCACAGCCACCCTGCGTAAGCACTAGGACAGTATAGTGTGGTGGGATGAGGATCCTAATAGCAAGGTATGGAATTCTAGTGTGGGGATTATAAGGTCTTGGGCTCTCCAACTACCATGGCTAGCTTTTGTGTTGTGATTCTCCCAAGGTTCCTATTTATGCAAATGACCCTTAATTGTGACAATCAAGTTGCATTACACATTGCATCTGTTGAGATATTACATAGATTATTGAGATATCCTAGGAGATATTGTTTGATTATGATTTGATTTGTTTTTATGTAAATAGCCTTGATTTAGGTGATTTTCTGTTCATTATGTAATTAGGATTATTTCCTCAGATTTAGCTTGATTCTTTCCTTATTTTTAGCTTCTCCCTGAATTATATATTAGGGTACCTTTGTACAGATTTGATTATCAGAAATATACATACCTTTTCAGTATTTCCTTTTCTCTTTTCCTCTAATCTTAAGTTGGTATCAAAGCCCCCGATCTTGGGGGTTTTGCTTCTGCTGCTCAGAAACCCTAGTCTTCAAAACCCTAAAACAGAGCACCCTAAACAGTACCTAGGTCCCATCGCTGGCCAGCCACTGTCAAGGCGAGTCACCGGCAACCCTCAGTCTGCGTTGCTGTCGTCAGATCGGTGCATCCCTGAACCGCCGCCGCCGTCCAGTCACCCACACGCCGTCACGCACATTTTCTTTCCAAGGAGTGTCACCGGCGGGTGAGATACACGCGCCACCCTCCAGGCCGTTGTTCGTCTTGCCGCCAGCTTCGTCAGACTTGCCGAAGCTTCCTTTGTTTGTTTCTGGGGGCTGTTCTCCAAAAAGTCTCCTTCTTGGCCCTTTTTTTTTCCCCTTGGTTGTCTTCGTTTTCTTTCTTTGGGTATCCATGAGTTCAGCATCCAGCAACTCTGAATCTGGTGGTAAGGGCCTTGTGTCCTTTGTCTTCTGTGGCAACCCCTCCATAACTTCAGAGAAACTCAACGGTAAGAACTATTTGAATTGGTCAGCTGCTGTTAAAATCTGGTTTCTTGGACAAAAGCTTATGGATCATCTCACCAAGCAGTCCTCTGAGATTGATGCTGTGTTACGAGAAGATTGGGAGTAGGCTGATTACCAGTTGGTCTCTCTTTTATGACATTCTATTGAACCTTCTTTGTTAGTCCATTATCGCTCTTACACTTCGTGTTATGATATTTGGAAGAAGGCTCAAACGGTTTATTCTAATGACATCCAGCGACTCTATGATGTTGTTCACAATCTAGCCACCCTCTAGATGACAGAAGATAATATTATGTCCTATGCTAATATGGCTCAATCAGTCGTGAATGAGTATAAATTTCTTATGACCAATAATAACTCAGAGAAAATGCTTGAGAAGCTTGACAATGTCTGTATGATCTATGTTCTCCATGGCCTTAGTAAGGAGTATGACTCTGTTCAGAGTCAAATCCTCACTGCCCCTAACATTCCCCCAACTGAAAGTCTCATTAGCTGCATCATACGTCTCCCTAGTCCAGGGGGAGGTGGATTCCAAATAGGCCCAAACTCTTCTACTCTTGTTTCTAATTTTGCTGGTTGTGGAGGCGGAGATCGTGGTCATGGTCAAGGTCATGGGGGTGGCTGAGGTGGTTGTGGTGGAGGACGCCCTCAGTGCACCTATTGTAAGCGTTTTGGCCATACACAGGAAAAGTGTTACTATTTGATTGGCTTCCTAGAAAAATCAATGTGACTCACACCTCTGATGATGGAAAGTAGTCGGAACTCAGGAACACCAAACAAAATATGTTGTCTGATGATGAGTATAAGGAGTTTTTACAGTAGAAAGCATCACAGGCCTCGTCTTCAGCCACAATTGCCCATACTGGTAATTCTACAGTCTATATCTCTCAATCATTGTCTGTTGGTTCCTGGATTTTGGACTTTGGTGCCTCCGATCATGTCGCTGGAAATCCCCTTCTTTTCTCCAAGTTATCCCAACCTAAAACTCCAAGCCACCCCTCTCCCATCTTTATCTCTTGATTCTGTCCTTGTTTCTAATTGTCCTTTTAATTTGATTTCTATTAGTCGTCTACTCGCAGTCAAAATTGCTCCATAACCTTCATTTCTGATTCTTTTTATATATAGGACCGAAGTACGGGGCGGACGATTGGTACAGGATATGAGTCACGTGGACTTTATTACCTGCAGTCTGCTTCCTCAATTGCTTGCACCATTACTAAGTCTCCTAGTCTTCTTTATCGTCAGTTAGGACATCCAAGTCTCCACAAGTTAAAGAAAATGGTTCTCCACTTGTCTTCCTTGGAGTCCTTAGAGTGAGTCCTGTCAGCTTAGGAAGCATATCTGCTCCTCCTTTCCAAAAGGTGTCCAGTCACAAGCTCGATCTCTCTTTGATATTATTCATTCTGATGTATGGGGGCCAAGTCGTGTTACTTCTATTTTAGGGCACAAGTATTTTGTTACTTTTATTGATGAGTTCTCAAGATGTATGTGGATTTTCTTACTTAAAGAAAGATCATAGTTGTTCGGAGTGTTTAAAAGTTTCTTAAAAGAAATTCAAACTCAATTTGGTTGTTCTATTTGGGTTCTGCGAAGTGATAATACCGAAGAGTATTTTTCAGCTCCTTTTAATTCTTTCTTGGCCAGTAATGGGGTCATACATCAGTCTTCTTGTCCCCATACACCTCAGCAAAATAGTATTGTTGAACGTAAACACCGCCACATTATTGAAACTGCACGTACTCTACTCATAAATGCTAATGCTCCTTTGAAGTTTTGGGGCAATGCTGTTCTCACTGCAGGTTTTCTGATAAATAGAATGCCATCTTCTGCTGTCCAGGACAAGGTTTCTCACTCCATATTGTTTCCTGATGAACCCTTGTTTCGTATTTCCCCTCGAGTTTTTGGCTCCACCTGTTTTGTTCATGATCTTACTCCAGGACTTGATAAGCTCTCTGCTCGTGCTATCAAGTGCATCTTTCTCAGGTATTCAAGAGTTCAGAAGGGTTATCAGTGTTATTGTCCTTCCTCTCATCATTTCTACACATCAGCAGATGTCACCTTTTTTGAAGACACACCTTTCTTTACATCTCCAGTGACTTCAGAGTCTGCTTCTCAGGTTCTGCCCCTTCCTTGTGTCTCTCTTATAACTCTGTCTACTTCCACATTAGATACGTCCGCTCCTCCTCCTCCTCCTTCGGAACCATCTCCTCCTCCCTTGATTACTTATTAGCATGGTTCGAGTCCTGGCCTTGCCATTGCTCCTCCTGAAGGAAGTTCGAGTGACTCATCTCTAGTTCCAATCCCTTCTCCTGCTTCGGATTTACCTGAGTTAGACAATCTTCCTATTGCATTTCGTAAAGGTATACATTGCACTCGCAATCCTCATCCCATTTATAATTTCCTCAGTTATCATCGATTATCTCCATTACACTCTACTTTCGTCTCTACTCTTTCTTCTACTCCTGTTCCTAAGTCTCCACAAGAAGCTCTCTCTCACCCAGGGTGGCGACAGGCTATGATTGATGAGATGCAAGCTTTAGAATCCAACCAGACATGGACACTTGTTCCTTCTCTTTATGGGAAATCTATTATTGGATGTCGCTGGGTTTATACTGTCAAAGTTGGTCTAGACAGACAAATTGATCGATTGAAAGCTCGCTTGGTGGCTAAGGGTTATACCCAAGTCTTTGGCCTTGATTACAGGGTACTTTCTCTCCTGTGGCAAAAATGGCCTTTGTTCGTCTCTTTCTCTCTATGGCAGCT